GAGAGTGGTAATGGAAGGCAGGGAAAGAGAAAGGAGAGGTGGCGGAGAAGCAGCGAGCTCCGGAGCAGGTCTGCCGTAATTGGTGTAATGTAGCAGAATCTTTAACAACCTGGTGAAAAGGTCAAATGAGAGAGGATGGAGAGAGATAGAGATGGAGGGGATAAGCATGTCGTCTGTATCATTTGGCAAAGTGTATCTTTACATTTCTAACAGAGCAGTGTGTAGATCAGTGTTAAACTAATCCCCCTAATGATGTTACTACACCAATACAACTTGATTAGGTCACCATCGTAATGTGTGTGTGGATCAGCAAATGTATGCGCTATAAACTTTGCAAAAACCCCAACAGCAAACAGTTTTGGATTTGTCCGATGTTTATAGGACATTTGATCAATCCCACTGCAACATCTGCTCATTTGCATAACTCCTGTGTGAAATAGTTGTGCACCTGCGGCAACTAGCTGCTATTATAGCAGAGTTTGTAAGCTACTTTCTAAGCATTCTGCAGACAAAGCTGTATTCAGCTACACCCTACAGCTTAGCTGCATTAATTGAAAGCACCGGCATCCAAGCAACACATACAAATCTGTCTAATGACATTACACACACGTCCTCATCGCATATATGCACTCACAGCTCCCACACAGGCCTGTTAGGTTTCAGATACAGGGAATCCACTGGCTGCCAAATCATTATTAGGGCTATTATCAGGCAAACAGTCCAACACCACCCACAGGGAGGGAATGCATTGGCTGGTTTCTACCTCCACTAAATCCACCATTATGCAAACATGTGACTATTATGCCTTGGTTTTGTTCCTTTTTTAATTTCCTGTTTATGTGGTTCAAAACCAGGCATTTGAATTTCTTTTCTCTTCTCTCCCACACCAAAGAAACCTTCACCAATTGTTGTTTTTGGTGATTTCCATTTAGCTTCGGCTTTCAAGCAGGCACACACACACACTTTTAAGCTGTTGTACACTCCATTATTGTTCATCAGTTTCTCAAAAGCCTCTTTCACTCGCTGCCTCTGCTCTTTCCTCTGTCAACAGCTTGTTTACCAGCACATGCTTCCTTTTTTTTCCCATTCTTCCTCTCCTCCTTTGTTTCATTACGTTTTTAAGAATAACCCTGGGCTGCTACAACAGATGCTGCCGAGTTAAAAGAGCTTCCGCACACGAACACGCACAACAACTGAACATGCTTTTGTGTTGAAAAGGAAGAGCTGTTAACGCTGTCTATTAGCACAACTGAGAAGTTCATTCTGGTAGAATCACCCACGTTATAATGACATCTCGCTTTCCTGCGCGGCTTTCTCCTTGGCCTTTCACTGTGTGTCTTTCAAATCTTTTCAGAGCTTCTTGAATCCGTCTGTTGAAAGTAATGTTCCTCTTATTGTCATGGATAAAAACTGACGCCCCTGCAAAATGGCAAACAAGTGGCTTGTTTGAGCTAGATAAATATCTGGCTTTATAAATAACTTGTATTCACTTTAAATCCAATTAATAACTCATTATTGTTTTTTAATGTTTTCAGACATTTTCTTAGCAGATTGCAGCAATCACTCATGGCTGAATGTCTTCTGCTCTGTAAACAGATTGCTCCATAAAGGCAGATTAAGAGACGCATAGCCGATGAGATTGCTTAAAAAAAAATCGAATAAAACACGCATCACATAGATGGAACAAATTCATGCTGACTTCTCACCAAAACGCCCACATTAAAAGCACAATAACAAAAAGAAACACAGGAATCTGGCGCCCAACCAAAGCCTGCAGCTTTTCTGAAAAGGAGATGGTTGGAAGGCTGGAGAATCATTAGACTGCAGACAAAACAAAGGCACACACACTCACAAACACACAGATGCTGGGAGGCTGAAGTTGTACCGTGTTTAACAAGGAGTGAGAGAAAGTGAGGGACCGAAGGGGAGAATGCTTTTTGAGTGAAAGGCCATCTGCTGAGTCCGTGGCGATGCCAGTCGCTCGCTCGCTTCCCATCGCTCGTACCTGCCAGCCTGCCAAAGCACCCTCAGGAGGACCCAAAACTTCACACACCGCAAACACACACTTGTGCGCCTGTGCACTCGCAGAGCAATAATGGCACGCGCACAGCAATAACTGGTGTGATTTGTCAGCGCCGTGCTGCGTCGAAGGAGCTTTGGACATTTTTTCATGTTTTCCCTCCTGCGGTAACAATAGCATAACAGCACTTTATTAAACGAGAACAGGACAGAACAGAATGGCCTGCAAATCAGCCCGTTTATGAGGCGTAGCTTTGCAGTACCCTGCCAGCCAGGGCTGTGGGGAGTGTGTGTGTGTGTGTGAGTGAGTGAGAAACACTGTACGGGCATTCATTGTTATTTTATAGTTCAGTGATCAAATTCTCTCTATCAGATTGTTCGAAATGTGGCGAGGATTGTGAATTCGATAGGTGAACTAGGTGCAGAACAAGAAGAAAAAAGCTCTGCAGCACTTGTATCCAGTCCAGTGATTATTGAGGAAATGATTTAAACAGCTGACATTTAGGGAGAAAAAGGCCATCACAAAGGTCTAGTGGGAAATTATTTCAACCCTGGCTGACTCGGTGTCAATTTCAATTCCAATTTAATCATCCTCCACATTGAACCGGTCTCAGGTAATACATCATGTTATTTATAAATTGTGGAGGGGGGGTTCCTACAAATGTACATTTCAGGAACGCAACAGGAAATGAAAGCCAGAGAGACAAAGATGAATGAAAGTGAAGAGAAAAGCAGAGTGAAAAGGGAGAGAAATGGACTGATTGACATAAGATTAGATAAGATTGAAGGTTTAGTAGATGAAAGGAGGGGGGCATGTGCAACAAGAGAAGAGAGAAAACCAATCCTTATTTTTAGATTTCTCCCAGTTCCTCCAAAACTTGAAGTATGACACTCCTATTGCGCTTAAAGTGCAATCGCCCACCCATCATCTCACCGAGCCTTCCACCTCGTCTCTCAAACACACTTGTAATCTTTTCATCTCGCGCTCCCTGCACCTCTCCCGTTGTGCCGCCGGCTCTCCTCCTCCATCCATCAATCGCCTTTTTCTCTTTCCATCCCTCCTCTTTCTCTCTATCTTTCACACCATCTCGAAATGTAGCTCTCTAGTGGCGCAAACATACTTCAGATGTTTTCCCTCACCCCCCCCCCTCGCTACATTCTGTCATTCCCACTGCCGATCTAATAAGCTCTCATTTTATCCTCCACTTGTTTCCCCTTCTTACCTTACTTCTGTCCATNACCTCAACAAAGAAGAAACCTGGAGAATATGTTTAAAAAGATTACAATTTCAAATGTTTCCCTTCTGCCATTGTCTAACTCTATTCAAGCCCTTTCTTTGGATCAACAATGAAAGTGCACAACACAAAGTAACATTACAATGTTTATGTATTTTAACATTGTATTCCTGCAAGTAATCCATGGTTGGTGGTGTGGTGGTGTGGTGTGTGTGGTGTGTGTGTGTGTGTGTGTGTGTGTGTGTGTGTGTGTGTGTGTGTGTGTGTGTGTGTGTGTGTGTGTGTGTGTGTGTGTGTGTGTGTGTGTGTGTGTGTGTGTGTGTGTGTGTGTGTGTGTGTGTGTGTGTGTGTGTGTCACAAGCGTCTCCACTGATTACATCCCTCCTAGTCAATAGTGAATAGAGCACTCAGCCTGATAAGCAATCACCTGAATCAATACTAATGTTTGTAGTGTGTGCACATTAGTTGTGTGTATGTTTGTGTGTGTGTGTGTGTGTGTGTGTGTGTGTATTCCTTAACATGTAGCTAATCTAGACGGAGATCATGGAGGATAAACATTTAGTTACAGGCACGGTAAATTACAGATTCTGTCATCCCTCTTCCTCCTCTCAGCTGCTCTCTTGCCGTTGTACCTTTCTTCTCCGTCCAAAGAGCCCAACGCTTTCATCTCCCTCGCCTTTTACCGATGGCCATTCTTTTATTTTCCTTTCTCCCTCTCATCTCTCATTCCTCTTTGGCCTTTTTGAGATTGAGCACTAACCTTCAAAGGGAGTGATCATGGAGAGTCCATGCTCTTCACATACAGAATAACACAGCCTTTAGTTTGGGCTGCAGCAGGAGTATAAATGTCAAAGTTTGAGGCCCTGCTTTAGCACACCTTTGTAATCCCTTACAAAGAGGCAACGGGATATGACGTGAGACCTTGTGTTTCAGTGAATGCATATAGTATGTACAGTACCAGATAGACCCATATGATTATTGACAGATTATTGTATTTATAGTAGGACAGCGAATAAATGACATCATGGCAGTACTAAATTCAGTCAGTGGCCCTTCAATGTTCCACCAATCAGATTAAAGCTGTCAGTGGCATAATCTGCAGCAACTCATAATGGTGTTAAAGCTGTATAACAGCAAATGAAGTTATAAGGCTGGACATTTTCTTTATTCAGTCAATTGTCAGCAAACTGAAAAGACACAGTCCGTCAGTTGTTCCCACTTCCTGTCCATGACAAAAAACCATAGGCTTCTACTAGTTCTTCAACATAAATCTTTAAAAAGGAACAAAAGTATATACTTTTGCTTTCAGGAAAAGATTTCCTGAAAGCAGCTGGGCACTTTGGTTTTTCTCAAACTAAATACAAGTAGTGCATTTGTTAGGAACTCACAGTCCATGAGGCTGACTCAAAATAAACCACAGTGCCCATGTTCATTAGAAGTTGATTTATTAGATGTTCATAAGAAATTAATTCGAAAGTCAGATCCAGATTGGTGCTTTTTAATGTGTTTTCAAGAGTTTTTGGACAACATTGAAGCTCTATGTAGCAGAGGATTAAGATTGATCTTTCAGTTTGATTGTATTTTTGGTCTTTTCATCTGCTTTATTGATAATGAGGGAAAAATTGAGCATTACCAAGAATATCATTCTGTATTTAATGTGTCATAAACAACTTTATTTAGAGTCATTTTAGGGTGATTTTTGTCATTCATACTGATCGTGTGTTTAGAGAACTTTAGTATCCCTACCTTCCACTGACAACGAAGCAAGTCACAAGGAAGATGAGGAGGACGATTCCCCCGGCGATGGACACAGCCAGGATGGTGGACTGGTTAGGGTCCCCGATGGCAAAAACATCTGTAGAGGAGACAAAAGGAACACAGAGGATTAGTAGTAATATACATAAAGGAGCATGTAGAGAGGATTAGCATGTTTTCTGTACGAGGGAAGATGAAGGGAGGCTGAGAGTAAAAAAAAGACAGCAAGGTGAATGTGGCGAGAGGAAAGAGGGAGTGAGAATGAAATATGATAGCATTAGAAAAGGAGATAAAAGACAGAGGTTGAAGGAGAGGGAAAAAAGAGAGAGTAAAAGTGAGCGATGGAGGCTGATGGAATAGTAAGTAAGGTCCTTGATGAAAAGCTCTCCCGCTCTGCATCGCCTGTGAGGCTATGAGAGTGGACGTGAAAGCCATTCCCATTCGGCCGCACTGTCCAAATGGATATGTTAACAGTGCCCATAACAGAACTTTCTGCAAAGATGCATCGATTTTCACGCCACACCGATCGAGCCATTACTCAAAACAAATACCCCATTTATCTGGCTTAGCAAAGCATGAGCAGACACGTGTGTGTGGGTGTGTGTGTGCGTGTGCGTGTGCGTGTGCGTGTGTGTGTGTGTGTGTGTGTGTGTGTGTGTGTGTGTGTGTGGGTGTGGGTGTGTGTTGAAGAGGCAAATGAATGCCCCTAGGCATCCACAGATAAGCATTGATCTTCTATTACATTTACTGCCGCGCACATTGACAGCCTTCTTTACCAATCCATATAATTGATCTGATTAGATAACCTCGATATGATTGCTATGGGGTCATCTGAATGTGGCAAATCCTGTATTTCACAGCACTGAACGTGACTCTGAACCCGCTGTATGAAGACTCGTTGACAGCTCTGTAGCAGTGATACCCAACCTGTGTCCTGAGCTCCATACAGTCACAGTTTCCTCATGACAGGACTAAAAACCCAACTTCGAAATACTTTAATGATTATGGAATGATTAGTAGGCTAATGAGTGCCCGCTGTATGCCATACAAACAATCTATAGTGCACTGTTATACATTAACTGATTCATCCCACTCTGCCTGCCTGTCTGGGAATCAATGTTCACTTTAAAGAGCACATTATGGGGCCACTAAAGCAGAAAATCCTAGAGCACATAATGAAGCGATAATGAAAGGGGATGACAGGAAACAAAGGAGAAAAAGGACGAGTGACAGAGAGATTGAACAAATCTCGACAGAGCTGTGGCCTGAATCACCCGGCATAGATTTATTTGTGTGTCTCCTCCTCTTCTTTACCAAAGTCTATAAGTATGGAATACATTTGTTAATTAAAGTACAGTCTCCTTTAGGCAAATACAGACATGCTGTATACACTATTGTAGTAGTTTGAGGACTAGGGGAATAAAAGCAGTATGAAAGGATGAGGATGCCTGGTGTTTCCATGCTCTGGCTTTCAAATGTATGCTTGTTATCATGATTTCTGCCAGGTGCAAACTTCTACTACCGGTTAACTCTTTTTTTCTGGTTGTGGGAATCAAAACACTGAATTACATTCACCATCCATGAAAGCATGGTTGTTTCTCATTTGAGTGAAATAGGATTTCTTTACCTTATAGTGCGTACTTCTAGGATGCTTTTATGCTGCTGATTTGTTTTATTTTGGGTGAACATGTTTATGCTGCAGGAGGCTTAAATCGGACTCTTACAGTACTGCACTGTGACACAAGTGTGATCTTCTAACGTCTAAGAAATGGCATGTAACTATTTTCTGTGCAATTGTTAACAGTAAGAACACAGGGAACATTTTAAAACAAGGAAAATAGACATAGAAACCATGGTCCTGTTTCACAGAACAAAAAGAAGAGGTAAAAGGTAAATAGTAAAGTATAAATCATGTCTTTACCTTCATGGCTGGTTTCCAATTCAATCTCTCCGCCGTAGCTCCCGTAGCCCCCGTCGGTCCGAGCCCTGACCCTGAACACGTAGGTGGTCCCTGGCTTCAGCCCGTCCACTGTCATCATGTTGGAGCGAGTCTTCAACACGGTGTAGTTCTGCTCCCGCTGGTTCTGAAGAGGAGGAAAGAGCGAGAGGAGAGAATTCAATACTAAATTCAGTGGATAATATTCAGTGTCTGAGAATAATGTCACCGTGGATAAAAAGGGTCACATTTATAAATATACTCAAGAGGGTTATATAAAGAGCAATGGGCTGTGATATTGAGACGAGCAAAAAAAGAAAAACCTCTGGGTAAGTCCTGAAATAATAGAAACCTCAAATTATTTAATGTAAATGTCCCCAGGGGCCAAATACACCTCACTAAGTTTTCATTTGTTCATCGCTGGACCATTTGGCCGCATTTATACATGAGCATCTGTCTAGTCCCAAATCTTTTCCCTTTTACTCATAGGGGCAATGTGTGGTTACTTTCAAACTGCCTTGTACAGTGTGTGCGTGCGTGTGTGTGCGTGCGTGCGTGTGTGTGTGTGTGTGTGTGTGTGTGTGTGTGTGCACAAAATGTGTGTGTAGGAGGATGAATAAGGAATAAGTGTGTCTGTCAGTAAGCTGATTCCCTGCAGAGAGGCTGATACTCTACCTAATGGAAGACACTCTACAACAAGGATTAACACTATTTTACTGCTAATGCCTGCCAACCACACACACCCAAACACACACACACACACACACACACACACACACACACACACACACACACACACACACACACACACACACACACACACACACACACACACACACACACACACGCACACACGCTTAATTTCATCACCTTGGCCGTGTTTTACGAGGTTTGTTCGACAGATGTGTGGTTAATTGGCTTGGTAGGGGAGACGTGAGGAATAGAGAGATAGAGATTTTTTGATGAACAAGTCATTACGGGCATTCCCCTAGGCTAAACCCAAATTCTAGGAGCCTAGACGATGAAGCTGAAGTGAAGAAAATGCCAACAAGTTGTGTTAAACCCATTAAAGTAGTACACAGTAAAGAGTAGTTTTTTTTGTTGGGAAATTTACTTTTTTGCTGATACACCACCACCACTCTCATATCTTTATGCTAAATATGAAGCCAAACCCAGATACCGGTGGTCTTAGGTTAGCACAAAACTTGGAAATGGGGAAACGGTTAGCATCGTTCTGTCTAAATGTAACTAAACTGCCTACAAGCACCTCTAAAACTCACATATTAACATGTAATATGTCCTTTGTTTATCCATGCAAAAAGCAAAGTGTAGGAAAATCAATATTCAATTTAACAGAGGGTCATGTGTCCGACTAATTCGTGGCCTGGACGAGCTACTTCCTGGATTCTCAGCTAGTTGGTTCCTGTCAGGAGTAAATTAACCCTTCGTAAAACAACAAATCGTTGTAACTCAAACAAACTACATGCAAATCTGTTACTTATGAGCTTTATAGACACTGTTAGGTGCATTTTTTTCATTCTTGGACACAGTAAGGCTAGTGCTTTTCGCCTGTTTGCAGCTTTTGTGTTAATTGAAGCCAACCAGCTGCTATCAATAAATTCAACATGCACTGACAGAGATATCAATCTTCTTATTTTACTCTATAAACAAAGCGTATACCTCCAAAAATCAAACTTATCCATTGAAGTTGTTCCACAGCTCCAGTTTTTAACAGGTTTCCTGTTACAAATCTGAAATAACAGTAAACTGATCTTCATTGTGTGCCGCTTTTAAAAGGAATCAGCGTCTGTGTGCATCTCTCTCACCTTCTCATAGTAGATGACCTCATACTCCACTATCGCTCCGTTTGGTCTCTCCGGACCCTGCCAGGCCAAAGTCACGCTGTCCTTGCTCCGCCTCTCCTTCAGCACCACGCTCACTGCAGTAAACAAAGAAGAGACAAAGAGAGAGTAAAGTTTAATGAGAGGAGAGAGGCAGAGATAAAGACGGCGCGCTATGCAGGAGACGAGAGGGATTTCAGATGGATACCCGCTGTGCTATATAACTAGAAATACCCTTATTGGAAGTCATTATCATGTATTTTTGCTAATGAGAGAGAGCTAACAAGCTGTTTAAAACGTGTGATTACAGCATTCAACATTGTGTGACATGCGTGTGTATAGTGTGCAATCTGCTCATGTTATTAATGTGTAAACCCCAAACCCTGTGACTTCCTACCCAGCCTTCGCACATGGGGCCCATGCTCGTGTGGGTTGAAAGTGTGTTACTGCTTGTGTACCAATGTGTGTGTGTACTGTAGTAGAGAGTAGCACATGTAACACGTTGGGATCCTAATGAGGTTAACAACCTCCTACATCCCTTCCACCTCCCCACCTGCTGCTATTACACACACATCTATAGTACGGGGACTATTACTCATCACCACCCTGTCATATGCACTTCTCTGGCAGCACTTTCCCACAGCCCGACACTGCGAAAGATGCACGCATGATTATATTTGTGAAGGAAGGGTTTCAGGGGTGTCATTTTGTGGTATCAGGGAGATGCAGCAGAGCAGTGATTTTATAGTTGCAGTATAAAAGCCTGATAATATTTTTGAGCACACTGCAATCAGGAAACAATTTTGAAAAATACTCCCGCTGAATGATAGTTCAAATTCCTAGCTCAGGCTGATGAATACGTTCTTCCCCCGGATGATTTTATTTTCCAATCAGCCTTTAAAAGTGGATGTTGGTGAAGGCATGCAAAATCCTTTCTTTCTTGAATTTGTGCTGCAATTTAAATCTGAATAGCTGAAATAACTGTCTGTGTAAACAAATACTGGTGTTTTGATATCTATATTTAAATGTGGGGGTTCAGATTTTTACATATATATTACGCCTGTATGTTCTCACCTGTCTGGGATGTAGTGACATTGATGACCACCGTTCCTCTGGGGGTGGGGCTGAAGTCGGACACTCCGTTCTGGCTCTCAACAGTGAAGCTGTAGTTGGAGTCCGGCTGCAGGTCGGTGACCAGCACACTGGCTGACGAGAGACCAAACTGTCTGGGGACAAAGTGAACGCTGCTACCACACGGTGTGCACTTCCTGCCGTCTCCGGAGCACTTCCTGCAGTGGAGGCTGTAGCTGATGTCTCCTCTGCCTCCTGTGTCTCTGGGTGGAGACCACTCCAAGGTGACGCAGGTCTCGTTCACCGTGGAGATGGGGTTCTCAGGGGCAGATGGTGGACCTAAGGAGAAGATCATTTCAGTCAACATGGGAAGTGTATTCCTTTTATGTTCAAGGTTAGTTAGATTTAAGGTTAGTTTATTTGTATAGCACATGTTAAGACACAGAGGCAATTCAAAGCGCTTCACATAGGCATTTAACGCATAATAATAAAAACACAAGAAAAAAAAGTAAAAGAAAAAAAAGAAAGTTCATAAAACCCGATGAAATACTGGCTGCAGCTAAAAGTTCAATAATAACGGTTAAAGGATCTCAGGATAGGCTGCATTAAAAAGAAAGTTGTTTTTTATTATTATTATTTTTTTTTTTTATTCTCTGTCAAAGCGTCTTTGAGTATCCTGAAAAGCGCTATACAAGTCTCATGTATTATTATTATTATTATTATTATTAAATGTTTTTAACCTTGATTTAAAAGAACCCAGGGTTGGGGCGAACCTCAGAATTGCAGGCAGTTTGTTCCAGCTTGTAGTGCATACATGCTAAAAGCTGCCTCAGCAAATTTCGTTCTGACTGTGTTGGAAAAACAGAAACAAAACTGCAATAATAAAGCAGAGAGAGTAGTCTTATTCGACCAATCGAGAAATGACTGGAAGTCGAATGTGAGGCGTATAAATGTGCCTTTTTTATCTCCAAAGGAACTGTAATAGTACAGGACTTCAATGATTTAGCATTGCACCCCTATAACATGGTCTGATTAGGATAGAGAGTTTAGATTCAGAAGAACCAGAGATGTTGTTTTCCCAGCATGCACTGGGTGAGTTGCATGTTAAAACCATACAGTCTATGGTTAAAACCCACAGGATTCACTGTCTATTCACACACCATTCCAGTCCCAGCTCACATAAAAGTGACTGACCAAGGTTTTTTTATTTCGTCTACATTCTCTTTCCATACATTGTCTTCATGTCCATTACCAGACGTTACAGTATATGGTTTCCATTAAGAGCAGCATTTGCATTGATTAAATTAAAAAATAATTAACTGCCTCCAACTGGAGGGTGGACACTTGCCGCTCGATTAATGAATAGCTGTGGAATGGACAGAGATAAAAAGAGCTTTGCTGATTGTAAATTGGACAGTATGAGAATATATTACACTTCCACTTAAATACATCTTTAAAGAGAATTCACTTGATGTTGAATCGTCGGCGCTCCAATGCACGGAGGGTTTTACCATGGGGAAGTTAACTGATACTCTTTTGGGGCTGCACTGCAGACAATTAATACTGAGTGGACGATGATCTATAGAAAGGGCCCAGAGTCATTTTTCTCATGAGTCAGGTACATTTTATGATTTAGAGTGGTTAATATTGCTCTGAACTTCAGCTGCAATGATTAGTGTATCACAGAGTCCAAAAAGTGTGCCAGTCATCATTCTCAAAGAAGCAAATGCACACAAATGGTATTAATTAGGCATTTAGCCGTAGTGCGTTTATGATGGCACATACATTAAAAAAATATGTGGATAATATTTCAATTTTTTTTTTGCAATTGAAGCAGCATAGTGGGGTTTTAACACAGATTCTGTGATGGCCATTTTGTCTCTTAATAAACCACAGAGATTAAAATTCAAGATTTGACTGGATGTATGTGTTATTTTATTTTTAAGTTGTCGTACTTTGATGAAAGATGCCGGACAAAATTTAATTTGAAATTGTGTACTACACTTGTATAGAACAGTTGTGTATGCCTACATGGATCTAAGAGGTATGAAAGAGAAAAGACAAACTAGGAATAGAACAGAACTAAGTAGTAGCTTAAAGGCAGAACAATTATAATTTATTTTACCAAATTGTGTTTAAAATTCAATGAAATCCTGTTTAGGGCCACAAAAACATTTGTATGTTTGTGCCTCATTTATCCCGCAGTGTCTGCCTGAAAGCAGCCTTATCTTGAAGCACAAACACACACACACACACACACACACACACACACACACACACACACACACACACACACACACACACACACACACTGCTTTGACTCAGAACATCATCAGGAAAAATGTAAACAAATTAAATCTTTGCATTGTGTAACTGTAAAGACCTTAAAGCACAACATGTATTCTGCTTATAAAGTCATAAAGTGGGACAAATTAATTGCATGTTTAACTATAAAATCAGTTTTCCGTTTGAAGTTTCCTGCCGCTAAGCATGCTGGGAATTGTGTTTGTAGTGTGTGTGACATCACATGTGACCTTAATGGAATGACATCCTCACAGTTGAGAGTAGAATCGATGACATCACATGGCTTAGATCTAGACATTGCAAGGAGAGCTCTGAAGTGCCGTAATTCCTCAGTTGTTCAGTTCAGAGCGGTGAGTAGTACACATATTCAGTCAGAGCAAAAAAACGTCACAGTTTTCTCGACAAAATACGTACTACTTTAACACATAGATTTGTATTCCTACGCACAAAACAAGTCCACAGACAGTGCCATGGAGGGAACAATGTCAGACCAGAGCAACAAGGAGACATCCGACAGCCAGAAAGATGAGAGTCTCCTGCAGTTTGACGCAGAGACCGTCAAACTGCTCATGATGAGAGGAGATGAACTCTTTGAGTGTGTGACAATCTGTGAGGAAAGATACAGCGCTCTGGAGGAGGAGATGGAAGCTAAAGAGGCTCAACACAAGCAGCAGCTGGAGGAGAACCTGGTGACCATAAACCTGCTGAAGAGAAGAGAGGAAGAACTCCTTCAGAGCCAGGAGAAGTCCACCAAGGACCTGGCTGAGACACAACAGAGCTGGGAGAGTGGGAAACAAGGCATGAAGTATGTAGTGGACGAGAAAAACAACCAGGCCACTAGAAACCACACCTTGGAGAGCGAAAAACAAAAGATGGAATGGAAAGTGAAAGGGGTGATGAAGCACAACAGTCAGCAGACCTTTAGAATCCAAACCTTGGAGAAGGAAGTCCAAAAGTTGGTGCTCCAGTTGAAAAAGCAGGGAGAAAAGATCTCTGGAGACCAACAACCGATGGAGACCAAACTAAAAGAGGTGTCTCAGGAAAAGGACGACCTTGCAAAGAAGAACCTGAGCTGTGAGACTGAGCTCAAACAGGTGGAGGAGGAGAATGAGCGTCTGGCAAAGAACAACAAAAGCTGGGAGACGGATGTCAAACAGCTGAAAGACCAGATGAGAGAGAAGGAGGAAAAGTTCTCCAAAGACCTGGCCGAAAAACACCTGAGCTGGGAGACTAAGTTAAAACAGGTGGAGGCTAAATGCAAACAGGTGGAGAAGCAAAAGAATCACTTGGCCAAGATGAAAAAAAGCTGGGAGACGGATGTCAAACAGCTTAAAGACCAGATGAGAGAGCAGGAGGAAAAGTTCTCCAAAGACCTGGCTGAAAAACACCTGAGCTGGGAGAGTGAGAAACATCAGCTGGAGGACGAGAGGAGAGAGATGGAGACTACATTAAAACAGTTGGAGGAATCCAAGAAGAAGCTGGTGGAGGAGAACCACAGCTTGGAGTTGGACGTCAAACTGAAGGACTTGCTAGTGAAGCAGTTTGAGAAAGACATGGAGGTGCAGCAGGAAAAGTCCTCCAAACAACACCAGAGCTGGGAAACCAAGGCCAGTTTGATGGAGACTGAAATACAAGAGGTCACTCAGGAGAAAGAGGACCTGGCTCAGACACTTCAGAGCCAGGCGACTGAATTCAAAGAGATACAGGCTCAGTTACATCAGGCAGAGGATGAGAACAACCTGAGCTGGGAGACAAAAGTCCAGCAGCTTGAAGAGGAGATGAAGGAGCAGAAGGAGAAGTGCTCCAGAGACCTGAGCCAGAAACACCAGAGCTGGGAGGCCATGGTTCATCTGATGGAGACTCAACTGGAGGAGGCGAAGGAGGAGAAGGACGACCTCGCTCAGACTCGACTGAGCTGGGAGGCTAAGGAGAAGAAGATGGAGGAGGAGAAGACACTTCTGGAGGACCTCTGTCTTCACATGAAGAGTAAGAGCAGAGGATTCTTCGCTCGCAGGAGGGCGACTGAGGAAAGGGACGCCATTTTGCAGAAGATGCTATGCAAGATGCAAGAGAAGGAGATGGGAAAGGAAGCAAAGGGGGAGAAAGAGGAGAAGGAGGAGGCTGGACGTCAGTAGCTGCCTTTTCCTCTCCTCTTCTCCTCCTCCCTTTCCCCTCACCTCCTTCCTCCTACCTCACCCCTTACTGCCTTCCCCTTTTCATACTCAGGGTTTTCTCCTGGAGCTCAGGTTTTCCCACAATCTGTATAATAGATGTAAAAAAACTCACTATTAAGTCCCTCCCCCTTTTACTGTACTTCCTGCTACCTCACCCTCCCTCCCCTTACTCCATGCTTTGTTTACTTTACCTCCCTCCTCCATTTCCCATTTTCATATTTAGTGTTTTTTAGTTGTGTTTAGACTTGATTTTATGATAAAATGTTAATTAAATGTATTCTGTGTGTGCCTCACTGTGTAAACATATACAGTATATATTCATTACTTTATGACATGTTGGTTACTAAAGTACCGGTATCTGTTCTATTTGTGATTTAAACCACTTTGAATGTAATAAATACAACAACAATAGAAGATGTCTGTGCAGATTGTTCTTGGTGTTTCTACTTTTGGGTTCAATTACATTGTTTTGTTTTTGTTGTTTTTCAAAAATGTGGTGATTTCATAAGAGCTGTTCAAGTATTCAAATGTGTTTATCAGGGTTTATTGAAAGTATATATAAATTAAATCTTGTTGGGTTGGATCAATGTGCTGCTGCTGGTCTCTATATTGATGTGAAGTTTCTGCTTTATTCTGATGATGATGATGATGATGTTCTCTACTGTCTCAAACTTAAAAAATACAACAACAGCTGCACGTAGTACAAAAGTACTGTAAGAACTGGCAGTAAATATGAAGAAAGCTGAGGTCATGAACATTCATATTTAGGGTTTTCTCCGAGCTCAAGTTCGCCCGCAACTCATTTTCATAACACAATTAGGATTTAAAAAGACTTGATTTAAAAATAAAAATGTTAATTACATGTGTTATGTGTGTGCCTCACTGTGTAAACATATACAGTATATATTCATCATTACTGTATGACATGTCATGACCGAAAGAACGAGATCGCGGATACAAGCGGCCGAGATGGGTTTTCTCCGCAGGGTGGCTGGTGTCTCCCTTAGGGATAAGGTGAGAAGTTCAGTCATCAGGGAGGGACTCGGAGTTGAACCGCTCCTCCTTCGCGTCGAAAGGAGCCAGTTGAGGTGGTTCGGGCACCTAGTTAGGATGCCACCTGGGCGCCTCCCTAGGGAGGTGTTCCAGGCACATCCAGCTGGGAAGAGACCAAGGGGTAGACCTAGAACCAGGTGGAGGGATTATATCTCTTCGCTGGCCTGGGAGCGCCTTGGGATCCCCCAGTCAGAGCTGGTTGATGTGACCAGGGAAAAGAAAGTTTGGGGCTCTCTGCTGGAACTGCTACCTCCGAGACCCGACCACGGATAAGCGGGAGAAGATGGATGGATGGATGCATGTATGACATGTTGGTTACTAAAGTACTGTTCATTTTATGTTTTAATCAACACTGAATTTCATAAATAAAATAACCCATGGTATGAAATAGAAGATGTATGTATAGTTCTTGGTGTTTTTATATTGTCTCATTGTACACGTCCAATCCCATTATTGTGTTATTTTAGTTTTTTTCAAATGTGTTCATTTCATACAAGCTGGTCAAATATTATTGGACTCGACTCCTCAAAACATTGAGTTTAAAAGATTAACATTTAATTTTATCAACAGAAACATATAGTGTCAAAATAGAGACAAATAACAAGAGTGACTCGAGAAACGACATATGTGATGTGATCTTAATTGAACAACAAAATCATTTAAAGGTTCCCTATTATGCAAAATGTCTTTAATACAAATGTGTCCCCATGTGCGTTAAGAGCCTCAAAGTTTCAGCAAAAAAGGCTTTCTCTCTTTCCCTCCAAATCAAAGTATTTGAAAGCCTTTCAAAAATGTGGTTTGGGTTCACAGTTGACCTCACTTATAACATAGGCAATTATTATCCGCAAAACTTAGGCTACCAAAGTAAAAATCCTACGATGTATAGGATTTAAATACTATGGAAGTGCTTTGATTTTATACATAGGTCACATATAGGTCACTAGGCCCTAGATGTCTATGCTTTTATAATACATTGAATCATTGTGTGTATGTTTGTTGGTTCAATGGGCAAATGAAGGCTCTTAGTGTCTGTTTTCGTTTATTTGTATTTACTATAGAAATATTATAGGAGCTGAGGTCCATTTCCAACATTTTGGAGACCTTATTGTTGCTTCATTATTGCTGCATGAGTTATTTGGGGGACATGCATAGCTTGGACCTCATCCTGATTGACGGCCTAAGACAATGCTAAGACTTGGACAAAGATTTGACTGTCAGCAGGTAATTGTTGTCTTTACTTGGCAAATACAACAAGTCTGTCACGGTGAGATAATCCAACAACAACACCTAGCGTTTACATCATCACTGAGAGTGCTTTACTTGAAAAACAAGAGGGAAGAGATTATCAATCTTTAGAAACCAAGTTACAACAAACAAGTACCTTCTACAACTACTAATAGAGCACTAAGATTGGACCAATGAACGGCCCCACAAACAAACTCTGAATGAATTTGAAATGGGTTTGTTACCGTAAAATAGGCTACGCTTCCTTGTTCCTAGAATAAATGTAAAACAGGTTTGAGGCTACATTCAAAATAAAGGTGCGCCCAAGATTAAAGTGTTTGCAGATGTTACATTAGAGTTACATTTTAGGGAAGCATTAGGAACAACAAAATACTTTACTGGCAACCATTCATGTTAAATGTCTCTGCTTTCTCAGTCTTTGGGCTACTCCTGGTAAAAGCAGCTTATATGGATATACATAGGCTATCCATATGTATGTAAACAACAACAATGCAGTTCTAAAAATCTGAAACAATCTGAAACAAAATGTATTAACTTATAATAAATAAGATAATAAAAAATGTCAGCTTCATGTAGTGAAATAAGGAGTTCATTATTAGATCTGTAAATAGACATTATGAAATGTAATAATCACATTAATACATTTTTATAAATTAACCAAAAGTTAAAGAAATCATTAACATTTTATTTTATAATTCAATTTCAATAATAACTGGATTTATTTAAAAAACATGTTATTTAATTTTTTGCAAAATGCTATATTTCCAAGTTCTGTTTTTCTTTCATTTTATAACTTTTTAAGACTGTGTTTTAAACAGACGTCACCTTTTCAACTTTTCCCAAAACAAGCTCAATAAATCCTACAAGATTTAGCCTGTTCTGTATGCATGTAGCATTAGCTATTAGCTATATGGCTTGGTAGATAGCCTACGTTGTTTAGTTTCTAAAGACTTTAGTTATTTAGTTTAAGTTTAGTTACTTCGTTTTGTTTCTGGTTTTATTTATAGAAGCAGCCTTTCAGCTAGTTCATTCAGATCAATGTTAGCATCTGTTGTTTCTCTAGCTAACAGAAGCTACTGTAGCTGTGAGTTTATCACTTAGCAACAAAGAGAATAGTCTGTTAGCATCGTTTGCTATCGCGTGTTAGCTTAAGCAACAACAGATATTAGTTTCTATGTTTTTGTACTGTGTTTATGGAGTAGTATAGGCAGGTAGATATTTGATTCAGGATTACTTTGACATTACAGATGCTTAACTGTACTGTAGCTAACATTAGCTTACTGGCTAGTTGTTGAGCTTGCTGGTTGAAGATGTAGGGAAAGTGATATTAAGTGGCACAACTGTCACAAGTAGGGAAATTATGAACATATCAAATACAAAATAATTAATTTGTCATGAAATACTGTTATTGGTAAAAGGCCAAATGACAAAAAAAACATATTTTACTCCTACCATACTTCTGTTTTTATATAAATAAGAAGGATGAAATAACACTTTATGATAATGAGTTAAGTTTAATTAAGTCTTAAATTATTTCAAAAGTTGTAGTTTCATGTATTTTCCTTATGTATTGTTGTGATTATAGGTCTCATATCTCTATATGTATTTGATTCCACATTGGAGCTTTATGAAAATAATCCCAAGAGTGAGCCTATATCAATTTCATTTAAACTGAGGAAGTTAAAAATAAGGTGTTTCAGAACACAAAAAGAATATTGATGCATCTAACATGACTCTTAATAATAAAACAATAACAGACATCCTTGACATATATTGTAAGTGCTTTATTGTATTTTGGATCATTTCAGCAGGTGTGCAAAACATTTTTCATAAGTAAACAGTAAATCAACACATATTTCACATTCTCTTGTATAAACAGTACATAATGACACTCAGAGAGACTATACAGTAAGTTTTGCATGAATCACACTACACTAATGAATGCAATAAAAAGATATGAAAAACAAAAACCCGAAATCTTGCCAGGTATATTTGTTTAATATCTAGTCAGAATATAGATAGAGAACTTTATTTATCCCGAAGGAAATTGTTGTGGCAGAGTTACAAAATACAATAAACAGCAGCATAGTAATAAAACTGTACACTAACAGTGCAGTAAAAAGAGCAATTAAATATCTACAGGAAACATAGACGGTCACATCATTAATGTAAATATTACCAGTAATTAATGTAAATTACCAGAATATGTCTTTACACCTGATATATGACATAATAACTTCAGAAGTAACAATGCAGTGAGAAGTCGGGTGTTGTTTTTAGACAATGCATCATCTTGTTAAGTCAAGTCTTAGATGAAACACATATCTATTAGAAAATCACCAACTGACATCAGAAAACAGAAAACTTTTTAGCATTTGCGGCTTATATTCTAACACAAAATGTCCTGATTCTGGTCAAATATAATTCAAAATGAGTTCTCCCAGCTAATTACAAGATCTGATTTATCTAAATATCTCGTCTTATTTCAAGAAATATTACACCAAGCAAATGTTCTCTTGTTCTATTGGCAGATTTTTGTACTTATTTCAAGTGAAAACGGCATTTTTTCCAGTGTGCATACAATTACATGGTTCAATTCTCTTTGTAACAATGTTCTCAATTGACTTCAAATCCGTTTTCCATGGCATTCAACGCAGATGCATCGGTCGTGGTGCAACATAGGTGTCACTACCTCCCCAGTTTCCATTCTGGTAGTCTAGCCAGCTGCTGGAAACCTCATTCTGCATTGTCTTTCCTCCTTCCTCTTCATCACTGCATGCTCCCTCATCATCCTCCTCTGTACTTCTCTTTCTAGGGATGTCTCCTCTCAGTCGAGACATCTCCTCCTTCTTCTTGTGGCAGAGACAGCAGATCCTCAACCTCTTTGTGGGGTGAATGTGATCTATCACTGCTCGCTGCTTGGAGCATGCATTGCAGACCAAAAAGCCACATTTTCGGCAGTGGTGTCGGCGTTCGATGAGACTGAAAATTTTGAAGCAGCGCATGCATTTGTAGGCGGCCCTGTCTGGGATCCAGGTTACAGCAAACGTGGATCCGGGTCGGTTGCCACGCCGCTTCAGAAGGTTTAACCGACTGTTTCCAATGTTCTCCATCCAGGTCTGCTTCTCTTCGAGCGAATCGGCGGACACAAAAAACGACTTGCATGGTGTACGGACCAGCCATTTGTAACTCAATCCCTCCTTGTCTTCTATGTCCTCTAGCATGATGTCCTCTGAAATGACATGGGAAGATATTGTTAACATTGCAAAAAACACATGGATACTATGGTGTGGTCAACACGCTTGCACAGAAAGACTTGAGGTGGATATTTGTCCTTTTCATTCAGTTGATTGCTGTCAAATAAATATATTTTCTGACCTTACCCATGCAGTATTCAGCTGTACTGATAATTTCATTTTAAAGGCTTTGGGATAACAACTTTTGAAACTTCTTCAGGTGCATCGATACAACAGGTGTTGTGAGGTGTTTCCATCATGTTTTAAAAGAAAGGGTTGTTTTAACCACACTTGTTTAACCTGATCGTAAATGAAGACATGGGGCTGTGCCAGTATTTTTTTTGGAAAAATGTAGAACTACATTGACCAAACTCAAATGTAATTGGTATGTCCAAAATTGGCGAAGTGCACTTTGCTCAGTTGAGTAGTTAAGGTAGCATGGTGATATGTTGTCATTGTTTTGTGCGGCATACTTTAAATTCCATGCACCTCCATTGAATTGCTGTTGCAGATATCTAATGCCCGTGAATACAAAGTCACAAGAGAGCCAAACTAAAACAAATACTTGATCACTAAAGCTTCTACAGAGGTATAGATACCAACAGATCATCGTTATGCAGATATAGACTTTTTGCACTACTTTGTATTTTATTATATATGTTGCATTGTTGGAGGAGCTCAGGTCAGAAGAATTTCATTGCCATTTCTACACTGTAGCTTTGAGCATATATGACAATAAAACATTTGAATTGAATCTGTCGGACTAGATCTGCTTACCTAGAGGGATGGCTTTCTGTTTTTTGTGCCAGCGTCCGTTCAGGATGATGCTGCCGTACACCAGCATGTCGTTGAACAGAAAGAACACTTTAGGCTCAGGTTTCCTCCGTCCCTGTTTTATGAGACGACCCTGACCCACCAGAACTCTCCCTGGCTGGCATAGATGCCTCCCTGCCGGGCCGAATGAAGTCTCAACGGCTTGGATACGCTTACGGTTCTCCTTCTCAAACGTTACCAGATCCATCGTGGTGAAATCATATGTGTAGCACTGAAATCACAGAAGAGCCAACAGTCCCTTTATTTATACAGGCAGGTGTCGCAATGGGAGTTTCCAAAGTTTGATTGATGACAAACACGTCAGGCAAGAAATAAACAAAAAAAGAGGGCGGAGCACTCACATCTGCACACTTATGTAAATATATTTAACATGTTCATTTTCAAGGTTTTACTGTGATATCTTGTTTCAACAGTTAATTTATCCATTTTTTTAATTATTATTTAAATTTGGATTCTATTCCGAAATGATGAATTCTAATATAAGTATGAATATAAGACACCATGTGTAATTAAATAATAATGACTGCAAAAGACTTTGTTATTCAACCCCTGAGGCAGATTGGACTTGTAAGACTGGTTCAGTCGATCAATCAGCAGCTAGAGTGAATAATAAACAAACTTGACTGGTAACTCACTTACTGTACTTGTTAGTCACTTATGCAATCTGTGCCAAAACTACGCACATCATCGCATGAGAGACACTTCTCACAGACACTACGTAATGAAGCAAAGTCAGTACTATATTTTCGGTAAACAAAGGCGTGGCAAAATAAAAGGGGATCTCCAAAGCATTGAGATAATAGGTTTGGAAATGAACAATGAGGAAATACCGGAAATACATGTAATTCTTCTTCCAATCTAAATGAATGAATTTGCATTTAAGTATTTTTGTAATTACATGTGCTATTTTAAAAGCTGAAGTACCTCCCAATGCAAACAATGGAGGTTGTGCGACCAAAGCAATATAGAAATAAAATAAGCTCATGTGTTTTTTTCCACTATTTAATACCAATATATCGGTGTTGAAAATAATCTACTGTACATTTATTGTGTCAGTCAAGCAATCTGTAGTGATTTGCTACAGCTATCGCTAACGTTGCTAGCCAGTCATTACTTGAAGCAACAGCTGCTGTGTGCCATTTCAGAAAACTCTACACAGTCGAAATTCACACACTGAGCAAGTGTTAACAAACCTGCAGTGTACTCAGCGAAGGATCAGTGTACCATGCTAGGAGCTGTGTGAGGCCAGAGGCAGTGCATTATGCTATCGTTGCAATGCTAACATGCTCACAACAACAAGGCTAGTATTCTGATGTTGGGCCGATATAATTGTTGTTATAGAAACTAGCATGTTAGCTCACAAAGATGTTGTGATTGTGTGTTCCGTAATGAAGCAAAGTAATGTACTGTAGGGAACATTTTTGACCTAAACAGGGCCCTAAGCGAAACATTTGACAGGTAAAACTAAAAAAGTAAAATCAAAGTGGAAGAAAATGTCAAAAAATGAAACTTATAGGCTATCTTCTCTTATTTAGCCATTAGGGAGTTTTAAGATAGGATTTTTTACAAAGTAATGATGAATACATAAGTGTCTGTGTTTGGAAGACTGGTTTAGTCAATCAATCAGCAGCTGGAGTAAAAAATAAAAACACTTTTCGGTGAACTTTTTCTCACGTCATCTCTGCCACAATATGCAAACAGCGTATTTTAAGACATGGCATCACAGACAACTTCCCCCATAGTGTAGATAAGATATTCAAAGCAGGCTTGGTTGATGTTTGGGGATCTCCAAATGTTGGGGAAATATGTTTGGGAAATACCTGTAAGGAAATACATTTTTATCTGCTAATTCACCCGTACTTCATTTGCATTACAAAACACTTCATTTGGACAAAATAAAGCTTGTCTGTTTATTTGAAAACATTATTCAATAGGAATTCACTTTGATTGGCTTTATGTATAATTATTCATAATATAAGATGTTACAAAGCTCCCCCTTTCTCTGTTATCTCTGTCTCATCCTTTCGCACAAGTATAAAGAAAACACAAACAGAAAAGGAGTTACGGGAATATTTGACAGCAAAGGTTTTTGAGTGAGAGCCTCTGGTAGACTTGTCTGACTACATTACGCTGCCAACAGATCAAAGCCAGGATTTCACAGCGTCTTCCTGCAACAACACACATATACATTTCAGAAGACACAGTTTCAGGCAAGAAAATCTTCCCCAAGTTTCCACAAAATGTGTTGCAGATGTTTGTTGTTGGGCAGCATGATGCATGTAATGTTCAAAGGAAATCTTTAGTATCTGGTTTATACTGTATGTGGAGCGAGAGTGAGAATACTACAAGAAAAAAGTAGTCTTACTTTCAATCCAAGTGGTATTTCAACTGTGATGAAATCAACTGCTGTGTGATGCAAGATCAATGAGCTTGCATGGTTGGCATCAATCTTGGTCAGAAACACAGTTTTGCTGGAATGATAAGATGCTTTCCCGCAACGCTTTATGACAGTCAAACATTTCCTGCCTTACCTTGGAAAGGATTACATTCTCAGTCAGAGGGCGCGAAAAGAAGAATGGTTAAATAATCTAAAACATGGGGACATTTTAAGCATACATAACCAGAGGTGGGAAAAACGAAGTCAATTTACTCAAGTACTGTACTTAAGAATACTTTACTTGAGTATTTCCATGTAATGCCTTTATTCTACTCCACTACAGCTCAGAGGTAAATGGTGTACTTTTACTCGACTACATGTATTTAATACCTTTAGTTACTTCACAGATGTGGATGAATGATGTGAAATATAATCAAGTGTTAAATCAGACTTTAGTTCCACCTGGAGTAAATCCACAAGCTACCCTGCAGTATACAAAGTCATTCAAACTAGCTGCACCTTTACCAGCTTTGAGAACACTTTCATGATCAATCATTATGAAACATATCTTATATATTATTCTGAAATGGACCAATCTGCACAATGACTACTTTTACTCAAGTACAAGATCTGAGTACTTCAACTTTTACTCAAGAACAAGATCTGAGTACTTCTACTTTAACTCAAGTACAAGATCTGAGTACTTCTACTTTTACTCAAGTACAAGATCTGAGTACTTCTACTTTAACTCAAGTACAAGATCTGAGTACTTCTACTTTTACTCAAGTACTTTTACTCAAGATCTGAGTACTTCAACTTTTACTCAAGAACAAGATCTGAATACTTCTACTTTTACTCAAGATCTGAGTACTTCTACTTTTACTCAAGTACAAGATCTGAGTACTTCTACTTTTACTCAAGTACAAGATCTGAGTACTTCTACTTTTACTCAAGATCTGAGTACTTCTACTTTTACTCAAGTACAAGATCTGAGTACTTCTACTTTTACTCAAGTACAAGATCTGAGTACTTCTACTTTTACTCAAGATCTGAGTACTTCTATTTTTACTCAAGTACAAGATCTGTGTACTTCTACTTTTACTAAAGTACAAGATCTGAGTACTTCTACTTTTACTCAAGATCTGAGTACTTCTACTTTTACTCAAGTACAAGATCTGAGTACTTCTACTTCTACTCAAGTACAAGATCTGAGTACTTCTCCCACCTCTGCACGAATGATGGTAGACATGGAAACTGTTTGATGTTGCTGTGTTAATAACTGTAACTAT